GCCACCATGCCCGGCTAATTTTTTCTATATGTTTTTAGGTGTCCAGGTAATTTCTTTCTATTTTTTTTAATAGAAACGGGGTCTCGCTCTTGCTCAGGCTGGTCTCGAACTCCTGAGCTCAAACAAACCACCCGCCTCGGCCTCCCAGAGTGCTAGGATTACAGGCGTGAGCCACCGCGCCCGGCCCACACTGTTCATTTATGGCAGGAGTGCTCGTGGTGCTTTAGGGGAGAGGGTGGGAATCTGGGCATCACTAAATTAGCTTATATATGTGTTTATGTATTTTAAAGATACTGTCTTTAACAGACTCAACATATGACAAGATAATAGTATAATTAATATTAAAAAGTATAATAAAGGGAACTGGTTTTTGTAAAGGTGGCTATGAGCTTACCACCAATTTGTGTCCCAGACAACAAAGCTGTGGTTCTCAAGCTGGAATGTACTCAGAATTGCCTGGAGAACTTGGGCCCCAATTAGGGAGTTTTGGGGTATGGACAAGGAATCTTCATTTTTAGAAAGCACTCGAGTTATTCTGGTGCAGGTGGTCGTAGGACCTAGCTTTGGGGAAACCCTAGTGTAAAGGGTTGGAAGAAAGCCAAGACTCAAGAGACTCTGAGTGGTGTGGTTTTTGGTGGTTTGTGTGTGTGTGTTTTAAACTATTCACTTCCTCTTTTCTTTTTATCACACTCAATTTAACACATTGACTGCCACACTAGAAAAAAAATTTTTCCCTGGGGCCACGGTGTTTTATTACGAAAATAGAATAAAAACTTCGAAATCAAAACAATGCTTTCTAATTTAATGAAAAATTTATTATTGTTTTCTGTGCATGAGTTGTATGCACCTCACGTGGCACTAGAAACATTTTTACACTACATGCCACTTGAGTTGTATGTGACTCACGATATACTTATCAAATTTGTTTTGGAGAATTAAGTCTTCATGTGCTTCATAAGGGCCCGGGCTCAAAACTAGCATTAGTTAAATACAATTCACATGGCAGTTAATGTGTTAAGAGTAGTATTTTCCTTTAGCTCTTTATCGAGGATACATTTATAGGCTTTGAATAGTGGCATCTTTTCTATTTAGATTTTAGTTAACATTTGATAAGAGTTGATGGAAGTTTGTCACATTCCAGATTTATCTTTATAGCAGCAGAACTCCAGCAAATAACAGCATATTGACTTTTTTTTTTT